AATTATATGCTGGATAAACTACGGGGTGGTTTCACGATCGATCGCAAAAGTTGAGAAAGAGTTAACTGTATTCTGTCTGTCTGTCTTGTCAGGGAGAGAGTTTCCCAACTCATAACTAAAGTGGGACCTAGCTAGCTTGTTCACAGCGAGCTCGTCATGTGATCTCCATGATGACAAATATATTCTAGTGGAGCTCTATGGACCGACATTACATCTATTTAAAGCGGGTACATGTACGAAACTATTTCTGTGGTCGCCTAACCAATACACTAGTGATATATGCTGTGGCCTTGAACCACAAGCAATGCCCTTGCCTCGACCACTTCGTCTCGTATCAAAAAATATTTGTCTACAAATCTTGTACCTAATTTCACTTCGATGGATATTTAAATAAATGCGCTATATAAACTCATGAATGATGAGTCATTATTTCCTCGATTAAGGTGCCGTTAAATATATAGTAACCTGATCATGTGCTATAGTCCAAAGAGTAATGAGGATTTAAGCCTGATATTTCAAATAGAAATAGACCGTCAAAATGTATGGAGTTTAGCCAAGGTAAGCAAAATGTAATCTACACAGGGATCATGTCGGCAGTTTCATAAATTATGTGCTTTATTTTAAACTCAAAGGTCTAGTGGCTCTTCAAGAACTTTGATGCGACCATCCAGCTTGATGTTCACTAGTGCCAGCTTATACGCGCTAGAGCTTATCATGAGTCAGCCACGTATTTACTGTAACGATAATATTCGTCTTTCTAAGATTTCGCAGCACATTTATACGAAATTAATGTGATATAGATTAATAGTATGTTTATTGTCCTAATGATTCTATGTATATGTAAGGAAGTGTAGACCTATTCTGCCTACAGGCCGGGAGTATCTATGCCTCCTTCACGACTTCTTTCCAGCAGTAGTGCCCCTACAGGTCTTCATTCGAGTACACACTAAGAGGAGCCGTTATCCCGGCATTATCTCTCCTCTCCAACCAACGAAATGATGGCAATTTGCGGATTTGTAGCTGCAGGGAAAAGTCTCAAAAACCACTCGGTGCGGGTTTCTCCTATGACGAAGAGGCCGGGCAGCCGGGCGTAGCAGACCTGTGTATACCTAACAGTGTCTCTCAACCTTCTTAGCCTCCTCCCTACTCCTCCCCTGATTCATGCCGCAGTACAAATCGAAGGTCGTGAAAGGATGTCAGAAAAGTCTTGGTCAAGAGTGACTGTTTTGTAGGAGCTTCGCCTAGCATCCAAAAGTCGTTGCGGGCATGGGGTCGTCGAGTAACTCGTGTACTTCAGATGCCCTCCTAGCTAGTAGATTCGGAGGTATAGATCAGTAAGGACGATAATACAGACGAGTCGAAATCGGCTTTGTTGAGGATGGAAGGGTCTTTTTGTTGTGGTTATGAGCTATGCGGAAGTCACATTGCGGAGTGATGAGGTGTGGATGATGTTATAGTTTGTGGTTGACAGTGAGTAGCCTCATACAATACTATGCTGTAGGTATATGGACAGAAAGTATAAGACTAAAACTGTGTCCATTTATTGTGGGTACATCTATGAAACTATATACATGCTCGCCTAACCAGAACACTAGTGATGTATGCTGTCGCCTTGAGCCACACGCGATGCCCTAGCCTTGACTACCTCGTTGTCTCATATCATAACACTTTTACTCTGCTTTCGTTGGCTTTTTGTTCGTCCGCTGGCGGGTAGCACATGTTGTAATATAACGAGGGCTTCTCTGACTACCACTGTAGTGTTTGGTATCGCATTATCTTTCCTCATTCCAAGCATCATTATCGTCGTCTTAGTCGTCTTGGTCGTCTAATGAGTTATCGGAAGCGTATCTTTGATGTAGGGGGAGATAACTCAGGTCAAAGTTAATAAGGTGTTACTCAATCTCGGCTTTGTAGAGTGAATGAGTGAGTGAGTGTTTATTGTACTACTTGAGTCATAGACTATCTAGCACATTAGGCTCGGCTTTGTAGACTCTAGAGTGAGAACTGGAGGTTCGTAGGGGACACCACTGACAGGTGTTGAGAAGAGTCCCCAAATTGACTAATAGAAAAACTACTGATACTCTTATGGCAGCCTATAACCGTCAATCTACAGATTTTTACCTGAAACACCTCGGTACAGTCGCTAATTCGATAGATTTCTCCCAGCATCTCGATATCCTCGGGGGAGTTTTTAGAGGTTGTTGTAGTTGCTTGGTTGCTTGCTTGCATTTAACGCCAAGTAGGCTCACGGGTATGACCCGGCTTCATTTCCAACGAAGAGGCGCCTGGCGTGTCCATAGAGCCTTTTGGTATTGGACAATTCTATCCTCTACGGACACCCTCTCATATTGTCATATAGAGACATGATTCATTTATGAGTTGATATTGTTCAGACGATCATGACTATATCACAACGTCATGTACAGGCACGATTCATCGTTTGTACCTGTTGTATCAACCATGACTATGTCTCAGTGGTATGAGAAACATCATTGACTAGTTACTAGAAACCTAATCAAGATCCTAAACACACAACTGAGACTAGGAGAATTTTACTGAGTAAGTAACTATTCTGATGAATCTAGATCTGGAGGAACATAATCTGGTTGCTTGGCTCGAGGTATATGAACCTGAGCATATCATGTATTATAAACGATACAGAAATCTATCTTAATCGCAATCATCATCTTAATTCATATCACCATCAAAAGCTGCAAAGGACAGTTTAACCATTTCCTTATACATAAATCTTCCCACTCTGTTGTACTCTGGATGCAATACAATTAATCATTACATATTTGCATTACACCAATATTCTGCAAGGCACTTTGGCGGAGTGGTTAACGCGATGCCCTGCTACGAAAGGTGGTAGGCATTTCCCTCGGGAGCGTGTGTTCGAATCACACAGGTGTCGAAGTTGCCATTTTTGACGAACAATTACAAACTATTAATGATCGAGAACAACCTTTTTGAAAGCTGTTAATGGCAGGTCATTTAGTTTTTCTCTTCATTTCGTTTTATTGTCCTTTCTGAGGCTATGACTATACAGGACACAACATCCTATAGTTGATCTACTCTTTTCCTAATAGAAATTCCTGTCTGAAGGAGAAATGCTTTATTGGTCTTGGTTGGAATACCCAGATTGCAGAAATCTCTCGACTACAAGTTCATAACTAAAATTATCAAGATAATTCAAGCCGATACAAGTCCAAGCTAAAGATCATACACTCTCTCGATACACCTAACAACTTCTGAGTCCCTATATATTGCCCAAAATACGACAACACGACCCGCGACCCTTTCATGTGATGCTGTTATAGATGGAGGATTATGAGAGGACGCCAAATTTGGTTTGCTGAGTATGAATGTTGTGGTGTTCTCTGATATAGTTTAAGTAGCCTGGGTACCTACTCCACTTGGGAAGGAGACATCTCAGATTACATTTCGCGCGGAGAAAAGTAACTAGATGGAGGCGTGTCTGGATAACTCAGGGTTTTTGAGACTTTCCCCTGGGTGGGTATTCACTGATGAGGGTTGACTTGGGGTGAAGAAAAAGCCGCAATAACTTCGCAGTGGTACTTGCAAATGAAATCCGAGGCATGAGTGCTCTTCTAGTAAATGGAGTCATCTATTATGTACCTTTCTTTGATATTATATCATAACTAGACAGCTGCATACGCAATCATTATCTGATGCAAAATTAAAGAGAGTTTATGACCATTTAAGACATTGGGCTCCTCTCTGGCCCAGATTACACTATATGCGGTGCTCCTATCCTCTTCTATTACTTGAAAGATCTTTGATATATTGCCTATGATTCACAGCCATTCAGCTCAGTGGTTACCCATGGAATCCGGTCACCTTTTCCATGGAACCTTATACCCAAAAAAATAGAAATGGTAGCAATGGAAACTGCGTGCGCGGGAAAAAGTCTAAAAAGCCTGCACCCACAGCCAGGCGAGGCCTAGACACCTTGTCATAGCTAAATAGCTGAATACAACATGAATTTAATAAAAAAAGAGGCCTAGACACTGGGACTTCATGAGGTGCGCGTATTCATCTATATCTCCCTTCTTTGTAACATTCGAGGCCGACTTGATCCAATCCACCATCTCCGTATCGAGTGCTGGGTACGCTCCGGAAACTCATCAGATAGCTATTCCTCCATGATCAAGGGTTGGTGATGAATAGGACTCCGACCCTACCATCTGATCTGATAGTGGTTAGCTTCATGATAATGGTGATAGGGGAATGTGTTGAGAGATGAAGAGGATACAGACCGCGTGTAAGGATTCTTGAGAAATGCCTCAGGCAGTATTTATGGGTCCCTTGTTTAATCCCACTAGTCTTTATTGCTTAGCGAGGGCACCTATGTAGTTTCCATTTCCGAGACTGAGATCTTCACTCTTTGTAGTCTGTCTTTAGGAATAGTTACATTATTCTAATCACATCTCACTCTCGTCCTCTGCCAACTATAGTGACTTACCGTCGCCTCCGGCCCCTTTATCTAGAACGGCACCCCGCTTTCCCAATTACCACTTCTCTAGAAAGCCCTCCGCGTTCCCACGAGGCGTCCTTCCTCAGTACATCGTACGCTACGCCCTCTCCGACGTCTCGAGTCTTGCGCCTAGTGAACCTGCGCCTGACACCGCGAAAGCGATTGGGAATCCTCTTCGAAGTGAGGACTTTGTTACTCAATCTCGGCTCTGTAGACTCTACAGTGAGAGCTGGAGGTTCGTAGGGCACACCACTGACAGGTATTGAGAATAGTCTCCCTCATTCTGGCGAGCGCTATTACGTCAGGTCTTTTTGATACGCGAATTATAACTAGAATGGGTCGTCACTTAAATTGCTACCTGCAGTACTTGGTCTTATTATTTTATATCCTAATAACAACTAAATATATTTACTTAACCATCAAAAACGCCCCATTTACTAGCGCCTGCATCCAGAGTTAGTACATCTCTATTCATACCACATGATAATATAATAACAATCTTTCAAACCATGCCGGCCACAAACTCTACCATGCGTTTTGCTGCCGTGGTAGAAGCATCATTTCCCCCCAAATTACTACTCTCTTGCACACTAGGGTAAAAGAAAGCTGCCACTGCTATCATGACATAAGCTGCACACAGTAGCGCCCCTTCGAGGTAGTTTGATCTTCCATCGAGAACAAGGAAGTTCACAATGAATGCACTAACAAAGAGAGAGACTGTTTCAAATAGGGTAAAGTAAAGAGACAGCTCTTTGCCCATACACCAGCCAAGTAGCACGACAAACGGGGTAACAAATAGCGCTGGTGGTTTCAGTAAAAATCTGACAAGTAAGAATTAACCTACCAATCTGTATGGACGAGCCCACTGCGACTCCAATAGCAAGGTCCATTTTATTTTTTGAAGCAACGGTGACAGCTGTGACGTGCTCAGCGGCGTTTCCAACAATGGGTAAAATGATCAATCCGATAAAAGCTTCGCTTAGAGCTGTTTCTTTTGCTACCACTGCATTGATGCTATCGACCATAAACTCGGCACAAAGGGCAACTAGACCTGTACTTATGAGCAAAAGTATTAGAGAGGTTGTTCGGGAAACATTTTCGTCATTTTGAGAAGGTTGGGGTGCCTTAGCAGCGACTGAAAATGGAACTAGACGAGTAGAGGCGAACGGCGGCTCAGTTGGGGCGAATTGCGCCAAGGTAAGTCGATCTGGTAGAGAGCTAGTCCGACGAATCCCATAACGAACTCGTGGGCCTCGAGGAGCCGGAGGAGCTGGAGGAGCCCGTGTCATGGGATCTATCTCTTCAATAGGAGGCTGAGTAAATACATTTGGAGCAAAATTCTTCTGGAAAGATGAAAAGTTATTCATACGACCGAGGTTGAAAGGAAGCTTCGTATTAGTAGGTTCACCCGTACGATTTGAAGCTAGTTGAGGCTGACCAAAGGTGTAGTCGGCCCCAGCAGATATTTTACTCGGAGACTTTTTCTTGGGATCGGCGGGCCAGATAATAATTTCTGGGGTAGAATTGGGGTATGGTAGTTCAGATATCTGATCTTTAGTTTCTGATGGTTCTGATTTTCGCTTTCTAGAGATCTTATTCTCGACAATTGAAATCCTTCGAGTTTTTTTGGGGTTCTTTTCTTGATTTAAATCAGAACTAATGGGATTGATGCTATGATTTCGATCGCCTTGGCCAGGAGTGTAATTACACGCAGTTATGCTCGACGATTTTCGGCTGGCATTTGGACTGATGTTGGTGTCGATTGCATCTTTTGACTTGCGACTGTGAATACTACGAGTTCCGTATTTGATAATACTCTTAACGCGCTTAGATTTAAAATTTGAGTGACCAGAGCCATCAGAATCTAGTGATGATATTGAGGAATTATCATTTGATGATTCCATCCATGCAGCTACAGGGCCTGGCGCAGACTCCTCATCAATTAGATGTTGTGGTGTACTCTGGTATAGATACGAATGAGATTTAAGTTGAAAGAGAAGATACATTCCATAGACAAGTAGAAGAACCTGCATAACTTGAGGATAATTCAACAGACGATTGAATTAAACTTACCACACTGGTACCGCGGCTCACTTTTAGTACAGCTGAGGTAGCTTTTGCACTTTGTGAGCTACTAAAAGAAGCGTGAAAAGCGGTCTTTGGATTATGTCAGATAAAGTTGCTAGTTGAAAGGCCTGAATACGAACCGGAAGCAGCAAGCTCATGACGGCTAAACTGAGTAAACAGGCGCTCATCTGCGTTACAGTACTATTATATATCTAAAATGTATTAGACAAACTTTGTAACTTTGACAGTCTTGATCAGATACCTGTTCTCGAAACCTTAGTCCGCCAACCAGAAAACACATCCCTAAAATAAGAAGTAGGTTGGCTAATATAGAGCCCAGTAAGGAAGCCTGGACAATCCGAAGCTCATTCTATGAAGGGCCATTAGCAATGTAATGATTCGAGTAAATTTGAAAGCAAATTACCTTCTGTAGGGCAATGCTATTTGAAGTTAAAAAACGGTAAGTTCTAGTCTTAGAAATAAAATGCAGGGTATAGATAAAACAGAAAATGAGAAATAGTACATGATAATGCTTCAAAATAGGCTTTCCTGTATATCTATGATATCAAAAATTTTCTTGCCAAAGCGGAAATTTGAGACGTACATGCTAAATGTGTTAGTCTGAGCTTGAAAAAACGATAGAACAACATACAAAATGATCAATTCGACGGCATTTCCAAAGGTAATATTCACGAGTGCACCGACTGTGTCACCCATCCTTCGAGCAACACTTTCTGTTGCGTGACTCAACAACCCAGCCAGTGGCACGATTGCAATGGCATTGAAAGCGAAAACATAAATAGGATTAAGGCCGGCGAAATGAACAGCGATTCCTACCGGTACAAATACTAGTAGAAAGTTGAGATAGCTCGATAGTAGGATAGAGTTTCCAGCCGACCAGAAACGTACTGCGGTATTCTCATTTTTTTCTATATCCTCTTTTATTGAACTAGGCTCTTCTTTATTATTCTGCGGCTGAGCTGAGTCCTGAAATCTCTGTTGATTTGGACATCTTTTAGCGATTACTTCGGGTACCATATTTTTATGTGAACGCCAAATTGAAGATCCTGAAGGTGGTGTCGACTCAAGCGCCTTAGCCTTGGCCCAGGAATGAATGCGATCTAAAAAGCGTTATGGATTAGTGTTGATATTTCTTGGATTCATGTAATAGATAGACATGCTACAAGCAATTGAAAAGGGCAAAGTAAAGTAATGAAGGATACGAAGATTGTAAGAAATAAGTGCCTGGTAAGTCAAGCAAACAGTAGTTGATAGTTAGAAATAATTGAGGGGTTTCAAGGACAAAATCTTCAAGTCTTTCCCCTCTGGTGACCATCAAAGCTGATGTGAGATGAAATAAACATGACACGGAAGCCGCGAAGTCCACCTCAGTTGATAGATGAGGAAGGCCCGGAAAAGGGATCGATGAGCTTGCCCCTGGCAACAGATTGGTGCTTGTGCTGAGAGAAATAAAGACTCACGCATCTTGGAAAGCTAGCCCTATGTTGTCCCGAGTAATTCCGTTATCTTATCTCTGGGCGGCTTGTTAGACTCTTCGTAAGTGGCAGTCGAAATGGCAGAGCTGCAAAGGTAAGTAGGTAGGAACGTTGGGCAATATATGAACAGCCTGTAAATTCCCGAGGTGACACATCGATTGAATGAAAATCTGACTCGCGAGTATATACAACCTTATAACTCCAATGTAACAAGCCGAACTCGAATTGATGGCTCAAGCTCAATCCACAACCTTCTTTTGTTTTGCACTGAGTTGTGATCTATAGCCGTTTGTCTTTAGTATCTTTGTTTTCGGCGGTACAATGAGCTATCCAGAGATCATCTAATTCCGCTATTTTGTAGGAGAATTTGGCTTGAGCTGAATGATGATGCCAGACATGAACCAAGATAATCAGCTTGCCTGTCGACATAGGGTTGGGTGAGCATTAGCTAACCAGGATAGGTTGGCGGGCATGCGTGTGAACATGCAGGGACCGGATGTCTCCACTTTTAGTGATGAAACAGCGTCAGCGCGTCGGGTGTGAATTGATTGAATGGATGAATGAATGGCAGGGTATGAAGCTGGCCTGTGCGGTCGGAAATGGTTTCTCTGTACTTACCGGCTCCACAATTTCCCCTCGTAAGGCGGAGCGGGGTATTATCATCGAGAGTGAGCTCCACATTGATCGCTCCACGTGTGAAATGTAACAGCCTGAGGATGGCAAATGATTGCAGTAAAGATGCCATCCGCATAGATAATCACAGGGCCAACAAAAATTAGGAAGATGGGGATTTGATGGAAAGAAGAAAACTAACCCTCTGCAGGGGGAGTATTTGCTACTCTCACAGATACGTAAACAGGTACGTACAAAGCTAAGTTATCGTTTGTACCGCTGCGTGCTAACTTAGAAGGTTCTAACAGGAACATGCAAGTATGGAGTCGTAAGTTGGATACTGCATATTAGAAACAGATATTTGTGGATGAACGGCACAATATGCACGCAGCGGTAAGGTTTAGATTGGCTAGTTTCTTGAAGACGTTTGATTTATTTCTATGACCCAAAACACGGGATCTGGAAGCTTCGGGTCCGTACGGTGGGGACACAGGATGCCTGGGGCTCAGCAGTGTCTGAGCTTAAGTTTTCGGGACCTACCAAGCTCGGGGCAATCGATCACTGGGGAGCGTCAACACAGGAAATAGGCTTAGGTCGGATATTATCCCAAACCTCACATCACCTCCATCCATACTTGATTTGTTTCAACTTACTTTTATGCTGACGATCGGCTGAATCAATTCCCGCCACTATGAGAACCGTTCTTGACGAGCAGAAGAGACAGAGCCCAACATTCAGCATGTTTTTTTCGGAAGTAACTACTGCATCTGACAAATTGTGTATGCTCAAACCGCTCAGATCCTCCTTCAAGGTGCTCGGAGCTAACTAAATAGAGATCAGAGAGAACAAAAGATGGATAGAGACCTGCATTATATTCTAAGAATCTGGCGGTCAGATAAATTTCGATGGCTGACGATCATTATGCGCCCTGTAACTTTTTTGCCGGAGTATGGTGAACATAAAATGGAACGGCAGAGAGGGACTATATTGCGGCTCTACCTGTAATTTGCTTGCCGAATGAAAGACAGAAAACACTAGATATTAATCCCTTGAGCCTTTGGCATGGTGCTTAGAATTCATTACAGCTCATTTCGAATTAACTTTTACGGGACGAGTAGCAACATTTGATACGAACACTTAGTAAAAACAGTCCATGCCGCTTCTCTGTGAAAATACTTTCTAGTGAATATTCACAGTTGAAGAGGGGTGCATATGTCGTTAAGCTGATGTATCTAGAGCAGATTCGGCGAATGATATGGGACAGCTAGCTTTTGAATTCAAGACAAAAAAAAATATGAAACCAACTATCATATCAAGTCACTTGTATCAAAAGATAACTGTTAACCTGACGGAGGAGCGTTGCGGGGAAAAATTTATGCAAAACCTAATGAAACAAAATAGGCATGGAAGGCAGCTCTATGTTATTTGTCTAGCTATAGGGTGTTCTACTAATCTATGGAGTTGCATATCGAAGATATATGAAAGCCAATGTCTACGATACCTTAATATTCTTTGCAATAAGTAATATTATGATGTCGAGAAGCATTAGTACCAGCCGATTGATTGATAAATAGCTCTAATGTCATATGGAAAATGGCAAGTGTTTGGAAGATAGAGGGTGGTGTTACGCTGCGCATGTTATAGCATAATATATATGGAGAGTATAGTAGGCTTCTATATCAGTGGCTTCGGGTGTCCGTCCAACAAATTCGCTGACCACTCATAGCTATTCTGAACACAGTTACAATGTGATAAGTCGTTTGAAGCATCATGGTTGAGATCCAGTGAACCATCGAGAATTCAATGTTCCGAGACAAGGATGACTCAAACTATATCACTATGCAGGAATGTTGGCGCTTGGCTGTCTAAACTTCCACGTGTACCGCGTTTGCCAGGCTCAAGCTATATCTAAGTATTCTACATATATTTTCAGCTTGGATAGGTGGCAATCATGAGACACGAGGACGCTCATTTAGCTGCTGGAAAGATATTTGTTCAGCCACTTGTATGTGATGAATGTTTTTTACCGGAAATTTCTGGTCATTATAGATATATGATCGCCCACGTACGCCATATTCACACATCGTAAGGACAGCACGATATCTCTGTTATGTTTTCCAATATATTCGAGCCCCGTGGGCAGGAGCTAATGAACATATGTTGGAAATGGAGACACGGAGTGTTGTGGACGTATGGGCCCTCCATTTCGTCTAGGTTCCCGACACGATCTCGTGTACATTCAAGAGGTTGGAATGGGTTATATGGTAGCGCTTCAGGCTACCTATTGGACATATGAGCGGCTGTATGGCGTGGGCGCAAGGAGGTTGTTGTGGGTTTTCTATGCCTCGATGGCGCCACACTCGTTTATACTGTGGCTTAGGCTCTGTATCGCTTACACTTGTACTGGTAGCGCACATCTCCCACACTTTCAGCTTTAATCCGAACATGACACTCTTTTAGTCAACTTCTACTTTCGTTCCATGAATATTGCGCCCATTACATTGCGCGATATTTCCAACAACATCGCCTTCGGCTTGAGTGATGAATATTCAATATGAGTCACTTTCCACATTGAATTATCCAAAAATAACTGTTTTTCCTTGTCCTTGATCTCGCTGAGAAAACGGCAAGATCTACAGCCAACACATATGCCATCGGAAAATAAATACTCTTCTTCTATAGCCACAAGAGTAGGATTATCTTTCCGCAAGGTCGGATGCTTGACACTTGAAGTCCTATTACTACATTTTATTTTTAAAATCTTCAGTGGAGTCTCAACTAGAATAGGATTATGATGCTTTATTCTCATGAGCCAGAATTTTTTAGACTTGAGTGTCTTACCTCTTTAATGCCTCCTATACATCTTCTGTCAGATCACAATATCAAGACGATTCTGTTGAAGTAGATACTGCGTCTCCCTCACTAGGCATATTTAGTAGGCCTGGAAATTTCTGGATGATTGTACAGGGTCACGCACTCTAAAATCCTACAATTCGACGTTATCAGCTGTGTTTTTCTCATGGGTTTGCGATACCTTGTGGAATCGTATTGATTTAGACTTGCCTTTTGATAGATTGAAGGTTGTGGGGACAACACTTACAGGCAAGGCAAGGGTGCACCATCCCCGTAGGCAGATAATTAATTGTTGACTACCGGGCGGTTGATAGACCTGGTGTTTGAATCCTGGCAGCCACTATTAACTAGTCTAGAATAGTGTAAAATTAACAAGGCAAGCTATCAGATCAGTGCGTAATCCAACGGTCGCATTCCACGTTTCGGCACGAAATTTGCGTCACAGCTACCAAAGTGGAGCCGGATGGCGCTATTGCTGGCCGTTATTATTGTTATTTTCAATTAATCTACATCCTATGTCAGTTTACAACTATGTAGGTCAAACCATTCACTAACATCATATCTTTTACATCCTAATTTTGCTCTTAGTGCTGTCCATTTAGCCCATGTCTAAGGTATGTATACAAAGCACTGTCTTCACCTGTATATATCGCAATGGAGACCAGCTGGCTTAAGATTATAAATACCTATCTCTGACGTTTAGTCCTCTGGAAAAAAAATGATAAAGCCCCTATGCTTGTCAAAATTATCCAAGTTTATTTCCGCCGGTAAACACTGTAGGGAAAATGATACAGGTCACTTAAAGCTCGGCTGTGAGATGAAATCAGCAACTGCAGCCAAGGATGGGAAACCTCCTACAATTGGTAATTACTCATTCCATCAAACAATTGCGGTGTGGGGTTGCTTGTTCCCGTGTCATGTTAGGTGGGTTCCAAGGGGCATGAAAGGTTAAAAGGCTTGATATGATAGCCAAACAAACAAAGCAAAGGTATGCAGGCCGTGCGGAGCCATGTATCATGAATAAATAGATTGCCGTAGCAGCGGGTGACTGAGTGGTGATGTGTTTCGACCAGCCAAAGATGTTGCAGTGATAGGTCGGGTGTCTCGACGTGCCAGTGTCCTCAAAAACATCTGGCCGAAAGCAAAGTTTGTAATTAACCCTACTGACGCAGCAGCCGCCACTATTGGCGCCTGATAGTATGAGCTTGACCATCATACACGGTACAAGCCAACGATGGAAGGTGCCGTGGTCCGCCTCCTGGTGGTCTTCTCCGGCATAATAAGAGTGGCCTGGGCACGTAATCCACCTGAAAAGGAGGCACTTGAGATCAAATTTCGCACGGAGACAATTTAGCAGATGGTGGAGGCATGTCCGGATAACTCAGAGGTTTGGATAATTTTTTCTTGGGTAGGTATTCACGGATGAGGGTTGACTTGGGGTGAAGGAAAAGCTGCCATAACTTCGCAGTGGTACTTGCGAATGAAATCTGAGGTATGAGTGCTCTTCTTGAATATTGAGTTATCTCCTCTGTACTTTTTCTCTGATATTGTGTCATAGCTAGATAGCTGCATACACAATTAAAATCTGATGCAAAAAAAAAATTATTATACATGGTACTGTACACCCTGCTCCTGCTTAGTCATCGACAACTGGAAACTTCATTTGTGGCCTAAACACTCAGTGGCCAGGCGCTTCAATGATTTACTTCGACTACGCCGTAGTGCCACATCTCCCACTAACTCTGCCCCCATGCACTAAATCCCAAGTCCCATTATTCTCAACGTTCTTTAAATTACACATCCTGTGCATTCTTGGTACAGAATGCCTTGAACTGTACTGTTGCATCGCTTTTGCCTCAAGATACCCATACGGAGTTGTCGATTCATACTTTTATCGGTAATTTTATCTCCTGTGTTCCTCCACTTCAGCACATGCTGTGGAATCCACGATAAATAGCGCTGGATGGTGAGATGGTATTGATAACAAATCGCAGGCCTGGTATTTTTCTTGGAAAGAATTGTGGCGGAGAGTTGAAAATTTTGGTATGTGTTGATTACTATTGTGCGACTCATAGATATCTGTCTTTTCCTAAATCTCACATTGCTCATGGTACTATCTTTCTCGGGTTTAGTTAGATCGCGTCTCAGCAAACAAACAATCTGACCTACAGTACACGTCACAACCCACTGAAGCCATATCTATTCCACCTTGGCACTACCAACCGCGAATATGTGGCGACAGTTCGCACATGTTTGCACAGATGACGCACCTGAAAATGGAGGCTCTTATCCTTAGGCCGAATATCGATGAGCCCATAACCACCAAGCTGTGTTGAGAGATAAGTGATATTCATTCATGCGATAGATTCCAAGCTTTCATTTGAAATTACCTGTGCTTATGACGTAGCATACGGGTTTACTGTTAGGCCAATTACAAAATGTGCTGCATTTCATACGCCATTTACACGGCAGGAGAAAGAAACTAACTGCACACCTTACCGCTACTCATATATTTGAACTATCTTATCTACGCACGAGGCTGAAGAATCACAGGATCTATGCCTTGTATAAATAAATGATTTGAAAATGTGAAAATTCTCGAGTTTCAGGATGTCTAGCTCGATCAATTTTAGAGTATATAGATTTTCTACTACTTTCATTTGAGATTCATTAAGGTGTGGCCTGGGTCAGAGAGGAGCCCAATGTGCTAGATAGTCATAGACTCAAATATTACAATAAATATAAACACACACATTTGAGATTCATGCAGGCGCTTTGTGCGTCTAATTCTGATTCGTCCATGGGTACATCATGCTCACATGACTTGTTCGTGATCAAACTTTGCACAGCTATAGCCTATGTTTCGAACTCGGCTTGTCCGGTTTCATGATGGATTCAGAAGCAGGCGCGACTGTATCTCATTACAGCCTTGCGTTTTATATTCATAGAATCTCAATGACAGTATGCGGTTCCAGACCGCAGAGTATCGCCCAAAGTGATTCGAGTAAAGTAGGCCGATAAAACTTTACAGTATATTTTGGTAGAAATCATACTGGACGATTGTTAACACGTGGAATTGGCTTTCGCCGCAATATAGTTCTGGAAAACACAAAAATTCATATGTATGCTCTTAATAGTCAGGGTTTCATCCTATAAACCGTATAATAGAAGCTAGCCAAAACAAAAATAACGCTACTATTAAAATTAATTTGCGAGATAGTCTCAGATCTACCGAGATAATGAGAAACGCCTTGAGTGTTCTCGCATGAAAACTTTCATATTCCGGCCATGAAACAATTTCTGCTGCAAGCTACTAAGGTTACCTCTTTTTTATTTACCTTTCTGGCCAGTAGGTGGGAAGTTTTGCTGGTCGGCAGGAAGGTTCATTTTTTTTAGAGCCGCATTGGATAATTGTGTGATACTAGGTAAAATGTTTGGATTTCTACATTGAGTTGGTCAGCTTATGGTCCTTAAATTTGCCTCAATCTGCCTTTCTCTAAGGCCAGGACTCACCTTGCTCTTTGAATCGCTGGAATATTTTGATTGACTTTTGCAGGCGTTCCACTGGTGTACATCTCTTTCAGTCCATCCAATACCGCTGGAGTAAATTTCATTATCTTGCCATTGGATACCTGTCCATCAGAGCCTGCAGCTCTAGCAAGGACGTCTCGGTGTTTGTCCTCATCTAGTTCAGCAAAGTAAGCTTTTTTCGACATGGCAATGATGCTGTTTCTGTCTGTCATTCCAGGCAGTTGATTTAATGCATTAGATACCGTGTTTGCATCATTAGCGAAGCTTTTGGCTGCTACACTAACACTCTGGGGAGTTGGTTTTTTTGCTGGTGCGCCGGGAAATGCTTTGGCGCCTCCTCCTCCGACAGCAGCTTTAGATTCACCTAATACATTAACGACTTTATCTTCTTCTCCTTCAGTAGTGGCCTCGTTGTCCTCTCCTCCAATAGTGGGTTTGGCTGTCTCTGTTCCAACAAATGGCTTGGCAGCTTCTCCTGTAATGGCACCCTCACCATTTGCTCCTCCAATGGAGCCTTCACCATCTCCTTCAATAACAGCCCCGAGACCCTTTCCTGTTGGAGCTGAGAATACAGTGCTGCTGAGAGCTAAGAATAAAACGAAGGAATTAAATTGCATTTTGGTATGAAAATTTGATCGATGTTAAAATCAGGAATACTTGAAGTGAAATTGAGTGAGCAGCGAGTAAAGTAGATTATCTTCCAGAAAACTGACAGTGGTCTATTAGAGTTAAGTAAAGAATTCCTCAAGAGTCGTACAATTAAAATGAAGCAGATAAATTTGCAGGGAAAAGAGATGTTAGAATAGAATGGCAATAATTGCGAGACCAGCTTACCCGTATGGAAATCGTCCCTGTGGTCTTCGGGTTCATGCATATATATGTGTATATATATACTGACGGGGACTACCAAATCGCCAATAATCACGCCTGGCAGGGGAATCTGCTTACTTTCTGCTAGCGGTCTAGCAGAGCTAATGATTTCAAACATGTTACAAGGTTCGTACTATGATAAACATTAGATTATTTCAATACTAATAGCATGCCAAGTCAAGAGTGAGGCATGTACGAGGTAGAACTAGCATGCAAAACCGTTAGCTGTGAGGATTCAGAACTCTACGCGCACTTGCCAGTTCCTGACGTTTCTAGACAGTCTAACGGCAGGGCTTACAAAGCTTAGTCTTTTTCCCTAGGCAACTCGGTCGTTAGCGAGACCAGTGATGGGCGATAGATTTGAGCCAGATAATACTAGTTCCTGCTCATTCCGCAATCATGTAGATAAGCAGTAGGACTATCTGATCCACCTAAAATCTTTCAGTGTTCCAAATTTGCCAGCTAATAGACGTAGATTAGTGAAGATAAATCAAAGACATGTACTCTATTCATGATAGTGCTTCAATCATGTGTCATGCCTATATGCTCCGGCCCCTGACACCGTCAAGCTCAGGACTCATATAGCACTCGAGTCAGGCAAGTGATAATTTAGCCAGAGAAATCCATGACTCCGCCAACCTTTTTTTAACCTCAGGATCCTTAGGATAAACATTGTTTGACGTGAAACAGGACGACCACGCCTTTGTAAACATGTTCTCTTTGGTACCTCTCGATACGTTAAACCTCCAATACTATTATCAATAGGAGGTCCTGCCAGATCAAGGTTCTGTGTTAACTTTTGTATTTCTCTTTGGAAAGCCGGTCTTAAAAGAATTGTTATCAATATTAGTCGTAAGCACGTGGTTTAGTCTTCGCGTGCGTCAAAGTTTCTCTCTATGTGCTGATGACTATTCGTGGCGTATATGCTGATTTTTAATCGCGTGTGAATCTCTACATTCAAATTAACTATCATAGGCTTTACTTGGTATCGAGCCTGTCTAAGAGCCGAATCAAGTGAGTCCAACACATCATATTTGCGTTATAAGCAGTAAGATATCGGGTTGACACGCCGACAGATTTATTTACACCCACTGACGTGCAAGTTCTTGTGTCTAAAAACCTCAACATCTTTGACGCACCATTAATAAAGCCAGCATTAGTGGTTACAATGAGTCCTCAGGGAAGACGAGCCCGTCTCAAGTCTCCTAGGTATAGGGCTTTAGACTGATACGTCAAATTTATCAATTCAATTTGATTCAAAATTTATAACGTAGACTTTTACCTAAAAAAACAAAGCAATATCTCCTAAACAATAGTGAAGGACAAAGCCTGAAATACCGTTCGTAGTACCCTTTACAAACTTGTAACTATAATTTACTCCTGGAGACGGTGCAAAGTACGCACCAAAAGACGAATCGTAAATTTTCGAGGAGATAGCGATCAGAGAATGTTGTGTTGGTATATTCGTAATGGCAAACACGACTAGCGGAGTTTTCACGGCTTGAAAAATTAATAGGCTCCGTCATCTTCATCTGGGATATGAAGCATAAAATGACTCAGCCTTGTCCATGTTTGGTATATACAAATAATGACGTACAGTTTCGACATTAGTTTTACCCTAAGACTTTCGTTTGTAAAGCTCAGCCGGCAAATATGAATTCTTCACCTTCAAATGGTGCCAGTGTAATTGCTCAGTATGCCCAAGTATGTCCGGGAAAGTCAAGATGAATCGCAACCGAATCGATGTCGTAAGCAAACACGAACACATCTTCAATCGGCGACTTCTCATCAATGTTGGTCTTGTCATTATCACGCGAGTCTCCTACCTTAACCTTGCCATACGACCTCGCCTCAAGAAGGGCAAGACTGAACCCTTCTACGCGGTGTCCTCTACGGACCTGGGAGTGAAATATTCTCCCAGAGCTAAGTTCAGTCACATTTCGCTATTCTGAACAAGTTGGCCCACCAGGCAATAATTCAAAATAATCCACCACATCAATTTTTCATTCTCAAGAGATCGAACCCTACCTAAACCTCATCGAGTCTCAAGTACGACCTAGTACATCCTTATTCCAATGACCACGCCTCCCATCGACTATTCTCTGGCCTCAGCTGGTCGCCAAATACACGTCCACGCCTATATTTATACCCGACGGAGAAAACAAAGCGCGTTGCTCAAATATAGGATAAAGCTCGTTGGGATGGGCGTGAGAGGATTCAGGACAAGTTCACAAGATGATGCAAAGGATGGATACAGCCTCGATGGGCGTGAAACTTCGAATTTTGGTATGGGGTTTTTACAAATTGAGCTATGTGCGTGCCAAGGCTTCGGTTGCGAGAGTGCAGGCGAAACTATAGACACCGCCATGGTTGGATTGTGCGGTGGCATATCGTCTTGGCCGGTCTTCCAAGTAGAATCTGGATAGCTTGGACACATATCCCACTCGAGATAGGAGATCGCTGGTTCAAATGCGGCAAAACACAACCACATTTCTCGCGGCGCTGGTATACATGGATGACGAAGGCATGCTTGGATAACCAAAGGTTTTAAAATTCCCTTAGGTCGGTTTTTACGGTGGAGAGACGACAGTTTGTGTAAGCGAATATACCTCGTAGTGGTATTTGCGAATAAATCCAGAGCATCAGTGTCTTTAACGTCAAAAGAGTCGTCTACCAGGTATACATAGTACTGTTCATGTGTCATAGCTTTATAGCTGCATACAAATTGAATTATTTTTTAAAAAAAATTCACCGCCTCAACTACCGATAAAAACGTTGCTCCAATTACAAACTGGAATTTACCCTATCAAAAATTGGCCATCAACCACTTTAAAATAACGATGCCATGTATAATCGCGAAGAGGAAACTAAGTCATAATATACATAGCTCGGATCTCGGTCTATGGGAGACCGTTGCTCTAATGGGGCTTTACGTTTTGACGAAAGATAGGCGACTGTGGTGTGAAATGAGATAAAGAAGAGACCTCTTCTGGGAATGATTGAGCTTATTGTTCGAAATATCGCGCAATTTAATGGGCGCAAATTTATGGAACAAAGGAAGAAGCTGACTAAAAGAATGTCATGTTCGGATTACAGCTAAAAGAGTGTGAAGTATGCGTTACAAGTACAAGTGTAAGCGAAACAGAGCCCAAGCCACAGCATAAACAAATGTGGCGCCATCGAGGCATAGAAAACCCCCAACAACCTCCTTGTGCCCACGCCATATAGCAGCTCATGCATCCAATAGTTAGCCTGAAGCGCTACCATATAACCCATTCCAACCTCTTGAATGCACACAAAATCATGTTGGGAATCTAGAAGAAATGGAGAGCCCGTACGTCCACAACACTCTATGTCTCCATTTCAACACTTATTAAGGAAATAGTGACCCCTCAATCATTGAGATTGTAGAGAGCATTCATTCAAGTAATCACTGAAGTGAAACTGTCGGAATACTTCAAGTGGACGGATTTCGTGACAAGTTTTTTGTGACAAAATTAGTATCAATTAATTCTTCTCCCTCTAAATCCCTCAAAGGGAGTATTCTCAAGACCTGTCAGTGTTGTACCCTACGAACCTATAGCTCTTACTGTAAATTCTGCAGAGCCGAGATTGAGTAACACCTTATCAACTTTGAGCTGAGTTATCTCCCCCTCCATCAAAGATACGCTTCCGATAACTCATTAGACGACCAAGACGACCAAGACGACGATAATGATGCTTGGAATGAGGAAAGATAATGCGATACCAAACACTATAGTGGTAGTTAGAGAAGCCCTCGTTATATTACAACATGTGCTACCCGCCAGCGGACGAACAAAAGGCCAACGAAAGCAGAGTAAAAGACCCTTCCATCCTCAACAAAGCCGATTTCGACTCGTCTGTAATATCGTCCTTACTGATCTATACTGTAAGGGAGACGTCTCAGATAGGTCATATCACTGGATAGGAGTTATGATATACAGGTAGCTCGAATAAGTAAGTAGTCTTCAACAGGTAATTAAGATACAAGAACGTCGTATGCCCAATCCTACCAGCAGTAAAGCGACTAGTTATACTCTAGGTAAAAGTGAACTGGAGCTTCCTCCCAACTCATACAATAGCTCAACGTTACATGAGATAAACCCTGAACTAAACCTATGTGGTAACCAACCCATTACATGGCCCACCAACACATATGCTTTACGCTAATACTAGTATTTGGCAGGGGATGATGTTGATCCAGATGTATTCCCTGACATATACCTCCGAATCTACTAGCTAGGAGGGCATCTGAAGTACACGAGTTACTCAACGACCCCATGCCCGCAACGACTTTTGGATGCTAGGCGAAGCTCCTACAAAACAGTCACTCTTGACCAAGACTTTTCTGACATCCTTTCACGACCTTCGATATGTACTGCGGCATGAATCAGGGGAGGAGTAGGGAGGAGGCTAAGAAGGTTGAGAGACACTGTTAGGTATACACAGGTCTGCTACGCCCGGCTGCCCGGCCTCTTCGTCATAGGAGAAACCCGCACCGAGTGGTTTTTGAGACTTTTCCCTGCAGCTACAAATCCGCAAATTGCCATCATTTCGTTGGTTGGAGAGGAGAGATAATGCCGGGATAACGGCTCCTCTTAGTGTGTACTCGAATGAAGACCTGTAGGGGCACTACTGCTGGAAAGAAGTCGTGAAGGAGGCATAGATACTCCCGGCCTGTAGGCAGAAATTACCTACATGTCCTTACATAGTCATGGATTGGCGC